GCAGCGCAGCCCCCCCCCCCCCCCCCCCCCCCCCACACCAACACAACCCTCACGCCACCGTAAGAAGAAGTCATCACGAGTTTCGTCAGAGCCACCGTAAGAAGAAGTCATCACGAGTTTCGTCAGAGCCACCGTGAAATCTCGAAACTTGTAGCGCAAAAGCTCCAAAATCACAGAGTCACCATGAGCATCACCGCGAAACGAAACTCCTCGCTTCATCTCCTTTATCGCGAAACACTTCCTCGCAACCTGCAAAACCTGAAACACAGAAAGCCCCAAATCTCTTCGCACCAGAAACCCTAAATTGCTACTTCGCTCATCTTCCGAATTGAATCCCAAATTTAATTCCAAATTGAATCCCAATACTTTAAATCCCAAATTCCTCTCAAACTTTTAATCCCTTAATTAAATCTCAAATTCAGTTTTATTGAACCCTAAATCCCTTTTCAGAAGCTCTGCTAATTATAATGTCAATGTTGTACACGAATTTTCCATTATCCAAAAGTTGTTTATGTTGCTTCAACTTGTTGCTGCAAATGGCAAGAAAGTTCCTCTTGGACAAAGAAAACTGATGTGTAATGATGACTGTGTTAAGTTAGAACGTAAACGGGTACTTGTAAATACCTTTGAGATAACTGCTCCAAATCTAGATTCTCTCCATTTTGGTGACAATCCTGTTGCTTTTTAATTGCTTTCTGACATGTTGAGACGTGATCCTAAATGGGTTTTATCTGTTGAGGAGAGATGCAAGGTTTTGGTTCTTGGCAAGAACAGGGGAAATACACATGGTCAAAAAGTCCATATTTTCTCTCCTATGATAAAGGACAAAAGAGATGCATTGAGGTTCATTGCTGAAAGATGGAAGCTTGCGGTGTATGTAGTTGGTCGTGAGCCAAAAATTGTTGTTTGGAGAAGATGAAGAATTGGGGACGAAGAGAACATTTAGATTAGAATTGATTTTTTTTTTCAAGTTGAGAAAATTTGGCCTCTCTAAAAACTTTAGTTTCAGTCCTACAATTTTTTTTCAGAAATTCATATTATTATAATTTTACAAGTTGTCAAATTCCATGTTTCAACTCTCACCATGCCACGTGTTCAAAAATTGACACATCACCCTCCCATTTGT